TGGTGAGGAATACCCTGTGTAAGCATGTGCACTTGGTAAGAATGTATGAGGAGCGTGTGGGTACTAACTCTGTTTTAGATGATGCTGCAAAGTGTTTGGGAGAAAATTCAATTATCAAATCAAGTCATGAGGAGGAAATTAATGAATTTTTCAGAAAGAAGCTGGAACAGAGAAATGTGATCCAGGAAAACACCATCCAACAACGTCTTCAAGACTTACAACACTTTAAAAATGTCATAGACAGCTTAGTTGACTTAGATGATGAAAGTTATACACAATTAAAAGACACAACCATAAAAAAATTTATGACAGATGTTGAAGAAGCAAAGCGTAAGGCAAAGGAAAAATTTCAGGAAGTCTCTAAGGATATTACAAAAAAGCGAAAAATGGAAGAGCTGCAATATTTTCCTTCCAATAAAAAAAGAAACTGATTAGAAATTAAATTTGAACAATTCTTGTAGCTCACATGTATTTTTTGTTTTTGTACCTGTAAAATATAGATAGTATAATTGTAAAATTGATAGTAAAATTTCATAAAATATATGTATGCATGCTTAAGTTAGGTCTGAATATTAAATCATGTTAAGTAATGATGTTATTTGTAGACTTTTATATTGTAGAGTTGTATTTTGAAATCAGGATGTACTGGTCCTAGGCGGGGTTTAGAGGGGTTTTACCTTCGCCATTGCACCAATAAGGCCTCCCCTCAAACAATAAATTTTAAACATAGCTATTTAGTGTTTTATTTGATCTTCAATAGTTATTTCTAGTAAACATTTGCTTAATTTTGTTCAGAAAATTTTTCACCTCATGGTGAAATCTAACACTTTTAGTTCAACTTTCTAGAATTAAAAGTAGATGGAAGTTTGACAATAGCAATTTTTATTATAAAACAGCTAATGGAAAAATTTAAAGTGAAAAGGAAAGACTACATAATTTTTATTAAACTTGAGATGTCATATGCCTACAAAAAAATTAAAACAATAATACATACATATTTACTATAATACTCAAGTTACTATCGAAGGTGTGGGACATGCATACTGGGATAACAATAATAAAAACAGTAAAATGTTTAAACTCAATTCCATCATGAGTATATACACAGGTGAATTAATAGCGATAGTGGAAGCATTAAAATATTTATCTAATATAAATCATTCAAAGTTTATAATTTATAGTGTCAGCAAAAGTGCTTTAAGTAAAATTAGTGCCATAAATCCTAAATCTAAAGTAAATTATGTTGAATGATATGTAATAAATAAAATTAAACAACTTCAGCAACAAGGCAAAACTGTTAAGTTGGCATGGATTAAAAGCCATTGTGGAATAACTGGAAACCATTGTGGAATAACTGGAAATGAGATAGTAGATGAATTGGCAAAAAACGCTGCGACACAAGGAGTATTAACTCATTATCTTTGTATGTCTAGAGATATAGAATCAGACACGTTCAAAGAGCTTAAGAAGGAATGGAAAGAAAGATATATTGATGAGAATATAAATACAGGAAACCATTACAGAGCAATCAGAAACCATATTACGGATAAATCTTGGTTTGCTAAAATGGAGTTGACAAAGGATATGACAAGAACTATATGCAGAATGAGATTTAACCACTGTCTTACACCATCATATATGTTTAAAATGAAGCTAGCTGTTAGACCATCCCATTAATTTAAGTTATTTATTAACATTAGAAAACAATGAGTTTTTATATAGATTATTGTATAAACAAGTTTTAGATATTAAACTCAAATTGTAATTGTAAATATAGAGTAGTAAGTATTTCTTTCTAATTTGTTAAAAGAAAAAGAAAATAAAAAAAAATTATAAAAAATATATAAGAAACAAATAAAAAAAAAGGAACTTTGACAGTCCACAGTAAAGTAGCTATTGAATTAAGTAGATAGCTGCAGAAGAGTTTACTGTGAAACTCTAAGGACCTCATCACTTATTTTATATATAAATAACTAAAAGCGCCTAATAGAAAAAAGCCTATATATTGGAGCTCAATACTAGTTATAGATTTAGGATAAGATTGTATAGGAAACAATGACTAATGAAAAAATGAGTACAAATTGTAAGATCGGCAAATGGATTTAGTGTCCGCAGTCATTTAAACACAAGCAAACAACAATACCCAAGTTACATTTAAATAAACATGAAATCTGCCAAATTTTAAATTAATATACATCTACCGATCAATCAGAGTAAATGTACCTTGTTATTTTCAGTGTAGGAAAATTAAAGACATTTCAAATAAAACTGTAATAACTCTGCTTAATCCTAAAATACGATATTATCCTCTTCCTACCAATATCCCATTTTCAGTTCAATAAACATTAAACACGCCAAATTTTAAATCAAGACACGCCCACCCACCAATCACAGCAAATGTACCTCGTTGATTTTACTGGTTTTACTGATTGTTTATTATTCTGTGACTGTAGTCTGGCGGCATCAGAGAGTGGGCATTCTCCATTATGATTGTTTATTATTCTGTGGCACTAGTATTGTTTTTTATGTGCTATGTCTTGTCTTTTTGCTCGATGACTTATCTGCGTGTGGGCATTCTGATTGTTATTTTATTCATTCTGTGCCAACACTGCTGTCGCACCATCAAAAAACTACCCGTTTTAAGAGGTTTGCGTATGTTGGATTCAGTTTTATTTGTATACATACAGAATTAGTTACAGTTATTTAAAAATTATATTTATTGACAAACTTGCAATATCAACAACATAACATTCATAGCATACTTCATAGTCTATTATTTCTTCTTTTTCGTGGCCTAATACCACTAAGTCCTTCATCCACAAAATTGTTTTAGGTAAAGGCAATGACGTATAATATATAGACTCGGTGAACGCTTTAAAAAGTGTCCAAAACATGAATACCTTTGTTATTGTTTATTGTTTTGATACGAAGATGCACGAAGTTCATGATTTTTTACGAAGCATCACGAAGTTGATCTTGTGTTTAAAACATCATGGACGTATGAAAACATTTTCTCCATTTTGTGTGACAAGCAAATTTTATTTTAAATTGTTGAGAGTTATTTACTTACTATTTTAGTAAAATGCCATACTATTTTATCAAAATAATTATTTCTCTTATAGACTTGACAAAAAGAAATCATAAATATTTAATTTTAATTAAAAAAATAATTATTGTCATTAACATATAAATGAGCACGCCGCTGTTGTGATAAACATACCTTCAACCTTGAGCCGAGATCTTTCGGACACTTGATTCTATAGCGAGAATAGGGGACTGCGTAGTCTATATATTATACGTCATTGGGTAAAGGCAATCTCTGACAACTGCCAAACTTCGGTCTTCGGTAGTCAAACCCATGGTATACTCGGTTCGCTAATGCCAGTCCGAACTGTCTAGTGATTTTAGTAATTATGTTTTTACGAAGTTAGTTACTTTTTGACAGACTAGAAGTGGCTGGAAATTATTATACAACCAAGTACACGTGCTCATAGCGCATTTCATAAGAGTATTTCGTCGACCTTATTTGCAAACTTATACTATGAATTATAAATTTATAGCATCTATATAGAATGTAAGTTTCTATTATATATAAAAAATATGTTTTATAAAAAAGTTATGGTAATTTAGTTTAATATCGTTAGATTGCGCCAAATGTAGGCAACCAACTTAAACTTTTTTTTAGCATTTAGTTGGAGTTTCTTTAGAATATATTTAATAAACATTTAATATTTTCCAGTTAATTTATTATTATTTTTTAAAGTGATGATAATAATGCTGAATAAGCAAAATTTCAAATGATATCTAATCACAGGACGTACTTAATATTGTGTTATAAAGTAGGTTAGATAAAAAATATCATAATATTCATATTATAATTCAAAAATATCATTCATCAAAAACATAATCCAATATCATCAAAAATATAATTAAAACAAATCATAATCTTCTATTATTCCTATTAGAAACTAGTTTTGGACGATCCGGGATTTTACCTTTTTTATTTAACGTACTTTATTATGAGGATTTTACAATAACACAATATTAAGTACGTTTTGTGATTAAATATCATTTGAAATATTGCTTATTCAGCATTATCATTATCACTTTTAAAAAATAATAAATTAACTGGAAAATAATAAACGTTTATTAAAAATATTCTCAAGAAACTCCAGCTAAATCCTAACAAAAAGTTTAAGTTGGTTGCCTACATTTGGAGCAATTTAACGATATAAACTAAATTACTGTAACTTTTATTTAATTTTTGACGCCATGTCAAACTGAACTGGATGTTAACTGAAATGTTTTTGTTATTAAGAACATATTTACATAATTTTATAAATATATTTTAATGATCCACCTACGCCGAATGGGCAAATAATTAAACAAAAATGGTTGGTGTTTTGAATAAATCTTTTTGCAGTTTGACTACTTCTTAATTTAACAGCATCCTTACTCATCTATAAATATTAACTTTTAAAGAACATTTATCATATTTATATTTATTTAAGAAAAACTTACCAACGCATTATCTGATAGAACAAATGGAAAACTTTGACTCTCTCTAATAATAACATTCAAAATAGAACTAACAAGGAATTAAACAAAAATAATGGAACAATAAAACATCTTAGCTAAAATAAACAACGTGAATAATACAAATATTTACTACAATATGTTCAATTGTAACAACTCAAATATTATATTTTAAATATACAGGGAAAATTTTGTGGGTTTAGTATACACTTCCACTTTTGGAATAATTCTTCTTTTTTTAAAGGAAGAAGTCTGCAATAGTAGTATATTTGAGCTATTAATACTGAGAAGTAGGAATTTTTATGTTGTAGGTTTCCTACAATGATTCTGTCAAAATATGCCCGAGCTAAGCGAATGGAGAATACAAAGAATTCTTTGTACCATGAGTCAAACCGAAATATTTTATTTCCGTGGTTGACATTTGCATTTGCCGCTATGCTCAGACAGCTTGTGCACCGACCGAACAAAACTTGTTTTCTTATCGAATTTTAACACTGCTTTTTGGGTGTAAAATTATTATTGGGATACATAAACTCAAGTGTAATCAAATGGAAGTAAAACAAGAAATTAGTGGGGAAACGTGTAAACTAGAGATAGAGTATAATGAATTGGATGATGCTGGTTTGAATGGCTTTGAATCTCAAATTCAGGAGGAATCCAATAGGCAAATTACATATGATTATTTAGACATAGAGAAATGTCCCATTAATACTGATATAAAACAATATGGAAATAAAATTAACCCATTTGAAGAAAACCAAAAAACTGAAAAAGGTTAGTAAGTCCGTCCCATATTAATTTCTAAGGATAAACTTTGCTAATATAATTTTGGCCTTTAATAAGGGCATATAAGAGGCAATTACAAATTAAGTGCTTAATCATATATTTTGTTAACAAAAGAAGTTATAAATCACAGAAAAACAAATCGGATTTACAGTATTTGTGCCAAATGTAGACAACTTTAGTTGCAGCATGGTCCCACTTTCAACATTTCTTTAAAACAATGCATTCAATTTGTAGTTTTACAAGTTTTCTATTCTTGCTTTGACCCATCTTTACAAGAAAATTTGAGGCAAATTTGTGACAAGGCAGTAAAGTTGGAGAATGTTTCAAAGCATAAAAATTTGTATTAACACAAAACCCATCAATGTCACTAATCAATGAAAGACTCAATAAAACTTTACTTAATGCTTTTTCTTATTTTTAAATTTAAATTTTTTGCATTCAATGATTTTAATATAGACAAGGTTTACCACCAATGTCAGTTCTAAACTAATATCTAATTTTATGTACAAAAAAGTATATTTTTAAAAGGTTTTGTTTTTAATTTTTCATTACATCTCTATGGTCTGTTGAACAATAAAAGTAAAGGATAATTCAAACCACTTTAAAAAAAGATCATCATTTATGAAAATAAAACTATGAGAAATAATATAAAATTAAAACGAAAAACTTAGATCGATTTCTTTTTACAATCCATTAGCTTGATCTGATGTACATTTTTTACAGATTATATCCAATGTTCTAGAAAATCTAATGTTCTTATAGGGAATAAGAAATGTGAGAAGTTATTTTTAAACAAACGATTGTTTAAGTATTACTTCAATGTGTCTAGTTTTTTAACAGTTTATAAATAGTAAACATATATATATATATATATATATATATATATATATATATATATATATATATATATATATATATACACTTCATCTAATTTATATAACGATGCACATCATCGGCGTCATAGCCTGTGACGTTACATGATACCAAAACAAAATATTTAGGGTGTAGGTGTGTTCTTTTTTAGAATCACTTTACCGAGTACACTGGCATTACAGCCACTAGACATATTTTATTATATACGCGTAGAAATAATATTTAGAAATTTCTATTAATGTTAACTTAAAGAAATACACAATAATATATTTCATTTAGTTTGTATAAATGCATTATAAAGCGTTTTTATCAAGAACATATTTGTTCGAAACACACTGTAACTGTAATCGAACAAAGCTAAAATTTTGGCATAAATTGGTAACACTTATTTGACAGTTGCGGTGTTGACACTTTTTGTACTTCATTATTTTGACTTTTAAAGTGAAAATCTCTTGTTTTATATTTTTAACTAATTAATAAAATCTGTTCTTTTTAGAACAAAATTAGTGTGTTTTATTTCAAAAATGACACGTAAGAATTTAAATAGTCGTTGTAAAGAGATGGTAATACTTTTGCAATAATTATGTAATCTATTTAATTAAAATGGAGTCAGGATTTTTTTAAACTTTGGCAACTATGTCAACTTCGATCTCTGACATAGATAATGACGTAAGTCGTTATCTAAATTAGATGAAGTATTATATCGGTTTTAAAACGTTCTCCTACGTCTTCCGATGCCTAGTCGCCATTCACTTCGGTCCATCCAAAGGTCTTCATCTAATTCTCTTTCTCTCATACTTCGATTTATGCCTTCTCTCCAACTAAGGCGGGGTCTTCCTCTTTTTCGTCTACCATGAGGGGTCCACGTTAGGATTTGTTTCGGGAGTCGTTCTTCTGACATTCTTTGTACGTGTCCATACCATCTAAGCTGTTTGGTACTAATGTCATCTACTATTGTGTGTTTCACATTCATTATTTCCCTAATTCTGTTGTTGGTTACCCTTTCTAATCTTGATATTCCTGCTGAGCGCCTCCAGAAATCCATTTCTGTTGCTTCAAGTTTTCTCTTGTATCTTTCTTTTATTTGCCATACTTCACTGCTGTAAGTGATTATACTCTTAACAATTGTATTGTATATTCTATGTTTGTTGTTGTTTGATATTGCCTGGTCCCACAGTATGCTATTGAGAAGGGTAATTGCTTTTCTTCCCTGGTTGTTTCTTTCTTCTATTGTCCGGTCTATGTTTCCTTCTTGTGTGATGGTCATACCCAGGTATTTATATGCGTCGCAATGTTTAATAATTTCGCCATTCCCCAGTGTAAGGTCCTGCTGTGTCCCACCGATACACATATATTCGGTCTTTTTTATGTTTATTTCCAAACCACCTTTTTTGTACTCCTCTATTAATTTCCTTGTCATATATTCTATATCATAAATAGTAAACATACTGTTTAAAAATTAATAATCTTTTATATACTCCTTTATATTTACCAAAGAATATAGACGCTTATAGAAGAATCTTTCATTGTCATTTTTGAAAGTCGGCAAAAGATGATCGCATGTTATGAAAAAGAATGGGAGGGTGGATCGAGATTTTAGTACCAATAGGGAGCGGTCATGCCAGCACTATTATTGCTTTTAAAATATGAAAGAGTGGGGCAACAAATGCAAAAGATATTTTTATGTAGATGCCGCGTGGCCGTAGAATAGGATTAAATTTTTGCGTTTTATAACATTTTTAAAGAAAATAATAATATTTTAACTTTTAATAAATGAATCCTTTTAGAAAAAATATTATGATTCAAATTTTTAATTTAAATATGTACAAATCTACAAATAATATACTAAAAACTCTCTTTTTATTAACTATAAATAAAATTAATTCAATCAATAAAGTCATCAATCACTGGAATTAAATATTTCCAAATTTTCTAAATTTAATAATTTCTTCTTCTTTGTTTTTAATATAAAATATCATAAAATGTAAAATACAACACTGTTTTTTCTGCAGAATATATTTAATTTGTTACATTTCGCCTAATTTCATATTTCCTAGAAGAAAATAATTTTAAAATAACTATTTCTGTTTGCAAACTATTTATATTCCAAACATTTTTATTTCAAGTATTATTGTTCTTCACATGCTTTTAAAATTTTATTATATAATAAATATACCTACTTCCATTCAAGAGTGTATTCTTAAGTACATCTGGTCAGCAGACGAATCTTTTCTCACTTTACCTCTCTTGTTCACTGACAAAGAATATAGTCGTATGCATTATATGATATTTATTTTAAAACCTTATTTTGTCGGTAAACACCGTACAAGAGTAAATGGAAAATTGTCTAAAAAGTTTAATGAAGTCCTGAGAAAATTAAATTTTTGGTTGAAAAATTTTGAAATTTTATAAAAATTTATGTAATGGTTTTTCGTTGTGTTAGAACAAACCAATTTTTAATTCAAAGTTATAAAATGTAAAAAATAAATGCGTTGAATATTGTAAATATAATACCTTTTTAAATTTCAAAATTAAAAATTTAACAATTTAATATATTAAAAATAAAGATTTTATTGTGAAAAAAACAAAATAAGAATGGAAATTTTTTTAATCGTGGATGCAAAGTTAACACCTTGACGGACACCTAAGTTATTCAAAAATAGTCAATTTGTACAGTGTCCTTTTTGTCGATATTATTACTATAATATATTACGATAATTTACCAGATGGGTAACAGATTGGAAGGTATAGATAGGTATTCTACGACAGTGGATTGCGTGTTACCATGTATTTATATTATAAATATAACGCGGTACAGCGTTCTGCCACGATATTAGATTTTGTTAAGGATGCTTCACAGCTTTCTGTCACAACATAATTTTAAAAAAAAGACGCTGCACAGCGTCTCTGTCCATCAACGTGTTAAATAAATAGCTCCGTTCATACTGCTTTCCCACTTTCCCCTAACTACATCTTTTATGATAGTTTTAAGCTGACTGCCAGATGTGTTTTGAAGTGTAAACCGTAACCAAATCGCCCATTTGAACTGTTCTTCTATAAGCATCTATATTCTTTGTATTTACTTATGTTTTGTGAAAAAATTTAAAAGAACTATCTCAAAAACAATTATATCATTTACTACTTCTGTCATAAATTTTATTATGTCTTAATTTAATTATCGCGTTAATGTTCCCTTATACTCAAATATTTATATTATAGTTGGTTTGTATTTTAGATTATCATAAAAACGGATATAACATGCAAATTATGGAGACACTAATTGAAGATTCATCTTATGAAGGAAATTCTATGAGTCAACATTCTGGAGGAAAAACATTTAATAAAAATATGAAAGTTGCTACTGAACAAAAACCTTACAAGTGTGAAATTTGTTTTAAACAGTATAGTAAAGCAAGTGAATTAAAAAAACATTTGATGATACACACTGGTCAAAAACCTTACAACTGTGAAATTTGTTTAAAACAGTTTATTACTAGAAGTGATTTGAAAAAACATATGAGAATACATACTGGAGAAAAACCTTACAAGTGTGAAATTTGTTTTAAGCAGTTTTCTGAGGTAGGTTCTTTGAAAACACATTTGACAGTGCACACTGGAGAAAAATCTTACAGGTGTGAGATTTGTTTTAAGCAATTTAGCCAAAGAAGTAATTTGAAAGCCATTTGAGACTGCACACTGGAGAAAATTCTTACAAGTGTGAAATTTGTTTTAAGCAGTTTATTAGTATAGGTGGTTTTAAACATCATTTGAGAACACATAATGGAGAAAAACCTTACAAGTGTGAAATTTGTTTAAAGCAGTTTTCTCAAGCAGGTTCTTTGAAAATACATTTGAGAGTGCACACTGGAGAAAAATCTTACAGGTGTGAGATTTGTTTTAAGCAGTTTGTTACTAAAAGTAGTTTGACAAATCATTTGAGAACACATACTGGTGAAAAACCTTATGAGTGTGAAATTTGTTTAAAACAGTTTAGTGAAGCAAGTAATTTGAAAACGCATTTGAGAGTGCACACTGGAGAAAAATCTTACAAGTGTGAAATTTGTTTTAAGCAGTTTTCTCAGGCAGGTTCTTTGAAAAAACATTTGAGAGTGCACACTGG